TTGGAAGCTCTCTCTTGGCTCAAAACCAAACATGCTCACACCAGCCCAGTGCGTGCTGCAAGCAGTGCCACCAAGGCACCTGCTCCAGCTCTCACCACCATGGCGCGTCACGTGGCAGCAACAGCCACAGCCAATGATGCGACAGATGCGTGGGGCGCAGCCGGTGCGACACTCAGTCATCACCCATGTTGGCATCGGCACAAAAACTGTGCCAGTTTACCAGGTGGCAGCACAGCCCGCACCACGGCACAGAGCCAATCCACCTCAAGGCAGACCCAACCCGGTGCAGGAACCAGCAATTTCCAAAATTAATGCTGCCAACCACTTCCAGCCATTGGCAATGGCACAAGCCATTAATGCCCCTGCCACAAACCAAGCACCGTTGCAGACTCCGGCCATTGTGGTTAACAGTTGCCGCCCTCGCAGGATGGGCAAGGAGGCCAAGGAACGCACTTGGAAGCTCGATAAGACCGTGCCCTGCGAGGACGGTGTCGAGAGAATTGATGCGGATGAACTAATTTGCGACCTGCAGAAGAAGCAAGCCGTCCTTGTAGACGTCCGCGGCAATGACCGAGCGTCTGGCTTCATTAAAAATTCCATGCATTTTCCATGCACTTTTGAAAGCAATTTTTTCAGCAAAATACAAGAGCTAGTGGGCAAGCTGGCAGGTGAGCCTTTGGTAGTCTTCACCTGCCAGTACTCGTGCCATAGGGCACCCACGTGCGCAAATTTCTATCGCGCAAACGTTGCAAAGGAGCAGCGAGTGGCTGTGCTCGAAGGTGGCTTTCGCGGGTGGGAAGCTCTTGGCTACCCAGTTGTTAAGGAGGAACAGTTTTTCAACGACGAGGCCCAGGGAGCCTTTGATGCGCATGCCATCAAGGAAGGGCTGAAAGCTGCCAGCAAGGCAGGAGCCTGATAGCCTGGCCGTGGGGTTGCGGCACAAAGAATGCCCTCCCTCAATCTCTAAACCGAAGTTGATTGTGCATGGGCAGGTGTACCGCGGGCTATATAGCGGGTTTTTACTATTTACGAGCGCCTTTTGACCTCCCACGGTTGCGACGAATGTGATTGTAGGTACACTCGGCCCTCGGATGACTGAATGAGTTGTCCTGCACAGCCACTCACAAGGTCCCATAGGGGCTGTTCGCACCCATCGCTGAAAACATATCGTCACCGAGGGTGACTCAAGTTTGCAGTTACCTGTGCAGCCGAGAATACCTTGGCTCACAGTGCTGCGTGCAATGTGTTTCAACTTACTTGCACCTTGCTTAAAACGAGTCGGCGGGAGTCAACGAGGGAGACAGAGCCCGGAAACCCAAAACCCAGATCCAACTCTGCAAAATCCTACGCTCGAAGACCCGATAGCCACCATAGCCGAAACTTCCAAAACATATAGTCAAGTTAATTCCCTAGAATGCCCTTCTCGCAGGTGTCATTCGACTTCTCCACCGTGGAGCGGCAAGAGGAGGAGACAGACTCGCCCTCTTTCCCGGTGTTGCCCTTGGCGCAGTCAGAGGTTTCGTGGAATCAGCTGCTTTATATCTGAGACTCGAGTTTTTAGACATCAAGTCAGCGTTTTTTGGGTTTTTAGCTGTTTACGTGTTTTTGGGATTGCGGCGTTGGGGTGTGCATCGGTGTTGGGGTTTTTCTGGAATCGCTAGAGCCTAGAGGCCTAGAGGTTTCAAGTTTGGGTTATAGTCTGCGTAGTGCATTTTACATGGGGAGGCATTGTTCTCATTACAACTCGTAGCGTTCGGATGAGCATGCCGCATCCTCCGACCTCTCATACCATCGTCGCAAGAACCCCACCAAGGGCGCAGAGATTCTGTGGCAAAGAGTTCATCACCATTACGGATAGTTACTAATCACTATACTGGTTACTCTTATGAGTTGACTTGTTCGTCATTGTTTAGGGGCTAGCGTCTATCAATCATGTATGCACGAAGGAACCTTGAGAAGACCCAAAACGGTAAGTCCGAAGCTCCGCCCAATGAGGGAGTCACCACCGTCTACCGAAAAGAGCTGGTGGAGTGCAAGGTGACCACGGCGGAGAAGGCAGTGGGTTTAAGATGAAACGTTTAGGGTTTAGCTAGGGGGTTGTGTCAGGTTGAAGGGCTCTGATGAATTGAGGGCTGTCGGTTCGGCTCATAGATGCTCTGAGATGCGGCGATCACGATAGTGATGATTCTCATCGGCATGTCTCCCTAAACACCGGCAGCTAGGCTTCCAGGGGTACACACCCGTTTTGAGCCTCAAGTCCCAAGTCTTCAGCCGAAGCCCCCAAAACCCAAAGCATCCCGTGCTTGGACTCAAAAGCCGGATAGCCGAGAGGCACATTCCCTGCAAAACAGCGGGCATCCTCCCTAAAGCCTACACGGCCCTAAACCCCAAACTCCCAACGGAAAGTCAAGCCTTGCACGCGGACAAAAACTTTGGCCACGGTGCCTGCTGCAAGCTCATGTGCTCGTCATCGGCATGCTATCCTCAACTCTTCGAACCTGCCAGTTCAATCCCAAACATGCGAAACTTGTTCCCCAGCGAAACTGATGGCTCGCCCCGCATTGATCCTTCACTGGCAGGACTTGCAGCAGAAGGTGCGAATCTGGGTTCACGCCGTTCTCCATGGGCTTGTTGCTTTCATGTGTTTCAGTTTCCACACTCGAGAAGGGTTGCACATTTTACCCGACTGACTTGCCTTCTCCTAGACTCCGGAGAGCCTAAAAGGCTGCTTCTCCGCAAGATGCTCAAGTTCATTCCGAAGGAGTAGATCGGTCGCTTCGAAGCGAGAGCTCCGCAAATCTCAGACTTACCTCAGCACCCCAGTCTCAACACTATCCCTCGACCTTCACGCTAGACCTACACAAGCCCTCTCATCATGAGCCTGGGCTGACGAATGGAGCTGAAACCCAAACCGTTAGGTGGGATTGCCAGCGCTCAGCCAGTGGAAGGCCACGGACCCCCAGGCAACGGGCCGTGGCTAAAGGGTTTAGCCTGCGGGGAGCATGAAGGAGGGCTAGGCTGCAGAGGAACGACTTGGACATCCCGATGGCTTGCCGTGAAACACGACAAATGCTGTAGCTAGGCTTTTCAATCCAGTTTCGGTTTTTGCTATTTGGTCCTGTGCTCATAGCGTTGCCACACTGCTTGGGGGAAACATGGCTGCGGCTCAAGCCAATTTTGTTCCAAGTTGCTGGTGTTGTGAATTTCGCAGCATCCTTGAAGCCATGACCGACGCAGCTGTCAACATCCTCGCCGAAGCGGACGCACCTTTGACAGCAACTGAAGATGCAGGTGCTGTTGCTTGGGTGTTGACATCCACAGCCTTGGTCTTTTTGATGACGGCAGGGCTTGGCTTCTTTTATGGTGGCCTAGTACGTGACACCAACATTATCAACACAATGAT